TCCTTGTTCTAATAATTGAAAATCACTTCCATTTCTAACACTAGAAAACTCTTTATTATGATAATTAGATGAATAATGTTCTTCTTTTAAATAACATTCAGTACATAAACCCCAATTATGTTCAGGATTTTTTAATAAACGAAATGAATAATTAAATAGTGAAGATGAATATTCTTGATTACTTAATAATCTTGATATTTGTCTATATGCTGCTTGTTTATATGGATCAGCTGCTACACCATATAACCATGTTGTTCCCCATTCATCTGTTATCACTGGTAATTCATCTTTATATAAATTTAATAAAGATTTACTAAATGTTTCTAAACTACTTGCTATTATTTCAGCATTTGGATAATGATTCCTAATATTAGACCATACTTGAATGACATCCGTGATATCATGAGGTGGTCCGGTATTATCTAATGTAAAATCGTAGATCATAGCTTGATCAAATCCTGGTAAAACAACATCACCACCATAGAAACAAGATTCAGCTGAACAAGGGGTTACAGCTGAAGGTTTATTATACATCATAACTAAAAGTTCGGTTTCAGTTTCTTCATGTCTCCATACAAATGCAGGCGGTAAATCAGCTCCACGACAATCAAGATTAGCACCAATATGAATTGATTTAATACCATTTTCAGCAAATATAGGTATACTACTTATTGGATGACCCATATCATCTTTATGTGATGCACTTGTTTTGCTGTCTTGATAAAAACGATCATCTAATATTGATGATATACTTAATGATATATTAAATAAATTTTTATCCATCATTGGAATAAACATTGAAAATGCATGTGCATGCCATGTTATATCACCTTGTTTTATAGCATTTGCAACTAATTTAGTTGTAGTACGATTTGGTCGTTCATTCGTACATTGTGCAATATTATCGAAAAATTCTAAAAGTATCCATGGATGTGTAGTAAAAATAAAGCGTTCTTCACCACCACGATCACGAAGCTCTTGTGCGAGACGTGCAGCATTAGGTAAATGGTTATTGAAATAAAGAGAACAAACATTTGCTGCAAAATTCGTAAAACCAACATCTAAATGTGTCATGGAAACAACATGAACTTTTTTTATCCATGGATAGGTCGTGCTTGATGAACTTGATCTGGATAATTCAAATTCAAGTAAGAATAATAATAGACAGAAAAGTAAACGCAACATGACCGTTTGATCTTTAATAACTTGCTTCACAGTTCTAACAAGTATTTAAAAAGACAGATAAGAACGGCAAAGAACAACTGCAATGTTTTTTGTCTCATTTATCTTATCATATACGATTTTATGAGGTTCTATTTATTGACAAAGCAATGCTGAATAAATACTCAAAATATAAAGAAAAAGAAAACTTTGAATATTTCTTTAAATAAATTGTATAAAAAGTTTCATGTATTTCTTGCGCAGACGACTTTCGCGATTATAAATGCATATCAGTCGAATAATGAGTGAAAAAAAAGTTTACGATATGACAATTTTTCTTTCATTTTGTGAACACTAATTATTAATTATGTTGTTTAAATCAAACACGCTACTGTTACTCCTTTCAAACTCATCTATACTAATGATAGATTATCGAAGAAACAGTTTGATCATCTTAACACTACATTCAATGTCAGATTTGCGCATAAGATTCAACAAAGACTCCATATAAGATGCGGTGTGACTAGTGTCACAACTGTTTTGTTAAAATTTTACAAGAGTGCACTTGAAAAGCACATCCATGAACAAAAATATAATATTTCATACTTTCGATTCAACGCTTTTAGCATTTGAAGCTAATGGAAATTGTTCTTTATTTTTATTAATTCTAATTCAGTACACTCATCATTCTTCATAATACCAATATTTTACAACGAATAATTGCTTCGATTGAATGCAGAGGTAACAGTAACCCTTAGTGCCAGGCGTCACTAAATTGTTTTAATCATGGAAATTGGTTTTATTTTGTTAGGATCTCTTTACGTAAACTATATGTATTATTAAAGAACATACAATATGTTAATTTTATGAGTGAAAGAGATGAGAACTGGTCGAAACAAAACAGAATATAGCAAAATTATTTTAATATTAAATAACACAGTATGTCTAATCAAGCGAGAAATAGACAACTCAGTTATATCTGGAAAGATCGTGTCAAATAGAAATCTAGTATAATTGATTACCAACAACGATATTCCTGTTAACCGATCAAAACAAAACGAGACGATTGATACATCTAAAGTGTGACTTTATTTTCGCATTGTTTTTCTTCAAAATATGAATTATACGTGATTTCTGTATATCACTTATTGCATATGTAGTAGAGCTCATCGGGTTCGAAAATTTTCAGACTCGATAAGATCGGCTCTAATTAGTAGTAATTTATCTTGAGCTATTCTTATCTGAAGATCATATATTGCATCTACTATATCATAAAATAAGCGTAAAATCAGCTCTACAATATGTAAATTCCTATTGAATGTCGTTCTGTATATTTTATTTATTTTCATATGAAGTTGTTAGTATTAACAAAAAACAAGCAAAATCTTATCTATACATTATCTTAAACATGAACATATAACATACAATCATTAGATGTTTTTTCATATTTCTTTTTATTACAATGAACCTAACGATTGTCTATATGTTTGTATAGTTCGAAAGATATTCCATAGGAAAATAATCATTATTAATAGTAAAAGATTCAGCGGTAAATTAGCTCCACCAATAGTGAATTTTAAGACAAAATAGATCAATGTAAGTAGACATAAAGTACGTATATCAGTAAAATGTCGGAAATTTATTTGTGGTGTACCTATTGATTGCAATCTTGTATCATTTGGACCATAGAATAATTGACGAAAGAATAAACCAATAATATCTTGACGATTATATAATGAACTGATTTGATCACCATACTAGAAAAAAAAATTATTAAGAAAAGACTTTATAATAAAAAGATGCATACTCGAAGATTAATATTTTCTGAAAGTTGACGATTAAACCAAAGTAATGGTCCAAGTTCAAATGGATTTGATGGAGATAAAATTGGATTGTCAAATTCATAAGGAATATAGGAAGAATTTAATGTTGATCCTGTGATTGACGTTGACAAGGACTAAAAAATTTTTACAAAAAAAATCCAACAAAATTATTTAGTTTTGCTATGGACTTTTCTCTCACTTTATTTGTTTGAAATGATGTATCTAGTGAATGTGCTAAAGACGGTTCATCATCATTAGTGACTGTATCAAATGAATTTGTATCGATCTAGAATAAAATATTTATGAATTAAATATTTACTTTCCATAGCAATTCCAGAAAAGTCATTAATGAAACAGTCATTGAAATACAAGGATGTGGGTGTCATAGCTTAAAAAAAGAATTTTATATGAGGCCTTTCGTAAACTTGTTGTAGTCCGACAAAAAAAAAGTCATAGAGAGGTCTGAGATATCTTAGTCTGTAAAAAAACGATTTGCTCTACCATTTCGTATGATGTAAGTCGATTTTATGACTGAGTTTTAAGCGCCGACAAATCTATAGTGACCAATCTGCGTTTTACAAACTCTTGTATATATTTCTATCACATACTTTATTTACTGATAGAAAAATATTTTTAAAACATCTAAATTTTGCAGTTTTTTAATTAATCTTTTTCGAGATTTCGAACATGAAATAACACAAACCAAAATTTTTTCTTATCAACTAAGTGTATGATTTTCACTACAAGACATGTTTCCTATATTATCTGGAGTCTTTCTACAAATGGTCACTCTAGTGAAGATATTAGTATAATACGCTCTGAACGTCATTTTATTTGGGACATATATTATTCGACAGAGCTTGAAATTCTGAGTCTACTAGATCTCACCCTAACCTAAAACCTCAACAAAATAAATGTTGAGATAATAAAGTTAAATGTATCTCTGCTGCATATTTTGAAATGACTAGTGTTATCAGTCATTCATCGTAACTTCATTTTTCTGAACAATTATTTTGTTTGCACTTTTGGCACAGAATAGGAGTCAGTAGATCAGTGACCAAGGAATGGTTAACTAATACTTCTATTCTTTAACTTACTTGAAAAAGTTCGCAAAATTTATTTTTTGTAGTTATTAATTGTTCAACAATTTCTGCTGGTAAAAGTGGTTTTAATTGAAGATTTTCTGTTGTTGATGATTGAGGTTTTATATAAAGAAGTTTAAATAAAAATCTTTTTGATAGTTCATAAATATTTGTTGATACAATTTGTGCTGCTTGTAAAGCTTTTTGTTTCTCTGTTTGAGCTAAACTATTACGCTCGCCAATACGACGTTCATTACGTTGTAGAACACTTGAAATTTTACGTAGAAAAGCTAACATTAATGTACGTGTTTCATCACATAGGATAGAATAAGCTGGTCGTGGACCATCAGGTGATGATGGAGGAGAAATACGTTGTTTACTAGGTGAATATGATGTTGAAAATGAATACATTGCTACTTGTTCAGCTAGAATAAAAAACAAAAGAAATGATAAAAAAATTTTAATTTTATATATTACATTTAAGAAGTAATGAGGAGAAATTTTTAGCTGAAAATACCTAAAAAGATAAAAATTTCTTTGTTTTTTTTTATATTTAATTAAAAAAAAATTAAAACATACGCTAGCTAATTTATAGATAAGTTGTGCGATAAGTGCATTTGTTAAATCAGTTTTCTGTAAACGATCAATAGCAAATTGAAAAAGACGACCATAAAAAGGAAGATTATGTTCAACAAAATTAATTGTTTCTGTATTTAAAAGTGATTGATCTTGTCGTAATGTATCTTGATCAATTGTTGTTGTATCAAGTAGATTTATTACTTTATAATCGTTTAATACAATTTCTGGACTAAACCGCCAAGGACGTATATATGTATACCAAATAAATAGAAGTGTATTATAACGTTGATCAAGTGGACATCGAACAATACCAATTTGAAGAAGAGTATAAAGTGGTTGACGAACATATGTATCAATACATGTTCTAAAAAAACGAAAACAAACAGTAAATAGCAGATTTGTAATTTAGTGCAGGTGACTGCGTTGCTTACACTTCGTGCAACGTTTTCCTCGACGTTTATGATAAACTGTTTTACTTAGTTATGCATCATGTTTTATTACACATTTCTATCATACAAACTCTTTTTCACTATGATTTATAGTGAACGCTCACTTGATAATTTCTGTTGTACATTGTGAACAAAATATCTGAAGAGACTTTCTAAGTTCTTCGACAGTTATCTATTGCTTAGGCAATTCTCTCTCTCTGTCATCATGAATTGTTCCGATTGAAAATAAACTCATTGAAAGTCTTAACTATTTGAAACAATCTGTCTCACATGTATATAGATTTAGTTGAAGCTTTTGGGATCGAAAAATTGTTCTTAAACATGAACAAACTCGAGAAAAAATCAAATAAGTGGTAAGTGTACGTTGTTTCACGTTTTTCTTTCAGACACTTCGATCAATTGAGCTGAATTTTGTTGGTGTGACAACTAGGATTCAATAGGGGTCTATAAGTATTTTTTTTTCATTAAAGTAATGTTCTGCTGATTTTTGGCAAATCTTACAAAGTTTGCCCGAAGCAAGAAAAACACGTTTTTTGATAGGGTTTCCAGTGGTTTGCTCCTTCGAAACAATATTTTTCAAAGAAAAAATTAAAAAAATGCGTCCAATTTGGTTCTAGTTACAAAAAAAGAAAATTCACTCATAAAAAGTGAATTATGGCTGTTTGTAGAAGAGGAAACTTCGGGTCATTTTTAGTCCTAGCTTACCCTCTATTTGAAAGAAGAAAAGAGGAGAGGGATGCCCTTAAAACGAATATCAACTCATGATTTATCAGATTCAATAGTGATCGATCCTATGTTGAATTTTCATAGACATTTTAATGCAGCATTTCTTGATTTTTCTTATAAAATCGTCTTCTTCTTCGTTCTTTCGGTAATTTATTTCCTATAAAAATATCTCGCATTTTAATGAGTAAACCTATTCGTAGATCGCTGTCTCTTAAAAAACATCAAGGTCAGAAGACTTGATAAAGCAAACAAATAATTATATTTATTATCTTATCTTATCGAAGTCAGTTAATACGTGAAAGAAACTTGTGAAGTCTGATCTAAAATGAATGCCAAAAAGTAGGAATAAAAATTTGGAACCACAATCCCTCCTCCACTGATATTGTTGATATATGATTACAGATCGTATATCAATAATATTTTATTATAATATATAAACTGATTCCTTATTGCATTTCTCGAGCATTAAATAAAAGGATGGCGAAGAAATATGTCTAGAATAAAACAATTTGTCTGTGACTACTGATTCGTTTTCTACTCCGTAGCATATCTTTGTTAGAAATCTGAATAATATGTAACTTTCGAAAATTCTATTTTTTGAGAAATAATTCTACACTAACCGTTTAAGTGTTTGTAAGGGTACAAGAAGATTACGTTGTTCGAGTAATGTCATGCCTGTATTAGCAAGAGAAGCATTATTACCACCAACACCAATTTGATATGAACAAAATAAATGAAGACGTTTAATAAACATACGAATACAAAGTAAATGAACATCTGACAAATTAAATTCCTAGAGGAAAACAGAATATACAATGTTTAATTGACATAGAATTTTCATTTCTACTTGAACAAGAATTGAACCACTATTTGTACCAAAAACAGATTTCGATGGTTGAAACACATCAATTAGAAATGCTACATAGCACTAACCAAAACAAAACAAGATATTATTTCAAGGATAAAATCTTTTCTTTTTATTAATACTTTAATAAAATAATCAATTTTTTTTATTAATTCATTGGTATCGGCTGTCGTTGTCGATAAAACTGCAGGTGGTGGTGATGGAATCACTGATGATGTACTAATATTTATACGATTTCCTTCTCCATCTCCTCGTTGCTTTACATTACTTCCAAATAAATATGATTGTCGAACAGGGCTTTTTCTAAATCAATAGACTAATAACTAAAAATCACTTAATTTCTTTTTTGTAATAAATACTTTGGTGTTGTTTCAATAGGTACCGGCGGCAACAAACGTGAATCAAGTACATGTGAAGTTGTAAGAATATTTGAAGCTGCAGTATTACTTGTTGGCATCAGAAGTAAACGAAATTCACTGGCATCGACTAGATCAAAAAATAAACGAAATTTCAACATGAAACGTCTAAATCTTTAAATATTTACTTGGTAGAAAAAGGCATAAATACATTTCAAGAATATTTAAGTAGACTGAATCGCTTCGCATTGGTCGATCCTAACCAAATAAAATTCAATAAAATAAATTTTTTTTGTTTTTCTTTTGTTATTTACCGTTGATTGTTGATCTGAAACAACATAAGAAAGTAGATGAAATAGAAAGTATTCAATTGGATCAAGTGCTAATGATGTTAAATGTTGTCCAGTTGTTGTTGTTCGTCCACGAACAATATCCGGTAAACATAAGGATGCAAGTTTAGCACGTAAATGTATTGGTAAATCACTTATACTAAATTGAAATGTAAATTGTGGTGTATGATCTTGTAGACGAAGCAATGCTTTCCATAATTCACCATGCCACGGTGAAAAAAAATCTTGTACCAATGAAAATAAATGACTACGATCATTACCAATATCACGTAATGACCAATCAAAGCGACCAAAACCAAATATACGACGAATAACATAAGGTAATTCAACATGAAGTTCCTGAACAGTCATACGAGGAAGTTGGGCATTTAATTGAATACAAGCATCGACTAGGCCCAAATCAAGAATTGAAACAAGAGAATGATGGGTAAACATTATTATTGATCTGAAAATCCTACAAAAAAAGAAAAAAAGAAACGATCTTTTGATGAAAAAATAAACCACAATGAATCAATGAATAGTCGATAAGTGTGTTTAAATTATGTAGTCGATTGACACATATACATGAATCATCAAATCAATGTCGATCGAGAGATCCACTTATACACTTAGTTCGAATAGAAAGGTCAGAAAAAATTGATAAAAACGCATAGAAACAAAAGGGTACTATACTAGTACTAGTTCACTTTAGACATAATAGAGAACAGAAAAGAAAATTTATTTGTTGAAAAGTGTAACCAACGAAAAGAGAGGAACGAAAAAAATGAAAGAAACGATACAATTATAGATGGCTGCTATAGATGACAGTGTCATTCGATGAAAGAAAAAAATGATAATGAATATCTGAAATATATCACTGTCATCTATAGCAGCCATCTATAANAAAAATGTTTGGAAGACCTTTTTGTTTTGCATGTATCTCAGCTTGAGAAAATGATAAAATCTTGATTTTTTTTCAAAAGATGCACCATCGAAAGCTCTACAACAGCTGTACAAACAAATACCTATTGCAAAACAAAAAAGTCTTCCAAACCTTTTTTTATTACGCACAATATGGTGAGAAGTAGTACTACCATGTAGGTTTTCATTTTGAGTACGGCACAAACCATTAACACAAGTCAATAGGGATTTGTTATTGCAGTTTTTGTAGAGCTTTTCACGGCACATCTTTTCAAGAAAAATGCAAGATTTTATCGTTTACCTAAACCAAGATATAGACGAAATAAAAAAATGTTGCACACCCCGAAGATGACCAGGAAAATTTAAAAAATAGTACATGTCAATGTTGTTACAGTTTCTCATCTATAGTTCAATCTATAGACCTCAAACTTTGTAGATATGTAGTACTATATATGTACAACAATCTACCAAAGTTTCAACGAATTTGCTTTTATAAAATGTGAGAATGGTGAATTTTAAAATCATTTCAGAACTTCCGGAACACCCTTTATCATCTTATCAAATATTGATATGTCCGAGAGACTTAGACTTATGATATTATTAAATCTTATTAAAGTAGTCTACTCGTTAGTAGATGATAAGTTGACAAAACTCAAATGATACAAAGATATGAATGTTTGTTTTGCCGATTGATAAGTTGTTTCACGATTTTCTCTTTCTTTTTCTCGTAGTAACAGTGTTGTTTAGTGTTGCCCTCTGTCGAGATGCATGGCTAATAAGTATCGAAAAATTATATTTCTTTTTATTTGTTCACCTTTTCTTGTTGACTTTAGATTACATGAGATTAGTCACGCATTTTACTACGTTCTGTCGTACAAATACCAATCTCAACTATTGACGCCACTATTGCGCAAGAATAATATATCTTCAAATAAAAAACGATGCTTGTCAAACACTTATCTGAACCATGGTTTTCTTTAATTTATTGTGGAAAAAAAACAATTGAAGTTCGTCTTGATAAAGGTCATTTTCATGAGTTAAAACCACAAGATACAAGTAGAAATTTTATTTCAATACAATTTTTTTTTATTATTTACAAATTCTATTTTTCTTTAGTTGAATTTTTTAATGATGATTTAGGTTTTAACGTGCGTCGAAAATTTTGTGTACGAGTTATATCAATTGAACAATTCGATACATTTGAATCATTATTAGAAAAGCATCTTGCATCTGCTTTACCAACTATTAAATCAATTGAATTTGGTTGTCTAATATTAAAACAATATTATTCTAAAGATGATGAATTTGATAAATATAAAAAATTAGCGATTAATATTGAACGTATAAGTGCACTTGTGAATGAATTACGGTCTTCAGCAACTTCATGTTAATAGATGTTTCAATCGATTCAGTTTTATAGACAATGATTTATCTATAAATTCTCTTTCATTGATCGTCAACTAACTGGTAGTTCATTATTTATAAGTGAAGACTAAAGAACCCTAATGGTCATTTAAAGAGAATTTCAAATATTTTTAATTTGAACTAAAAGTAAATCTTCAAAGCAAATTAAATTTGCTATGTTAAATAAAATTTATCTTTAATCATTTGACATTTGCTCTACTCTGAAATGATCCAGCACAAAAATAATAACATTTCTTTCTACATGTACTAAACAGTCGAATTATGTCATTGTGCATTCCTACATTTTTTTTACTAGTCGTTTTGTATTTCATACAGTTTTATTCAAAAAAAAAACACGATGTAATCTATCGAAATAAAGATAATTACCCGACGAATTCTTCTATTTTATTTACTGAAAAAATAATATTGTATTAAGAGCATCCATTGTTTTTAGTTATTTACTACAAAATGCCGAATAAGCTTAAGATAGTTCAATGGATTGCACTCAAACATTGACGTATGCACGGAATCTTGCTCTTCGTACTAATAGAAATAATAGATCTATTTTACTTTTTATTTTCATTAATCAAACTAATAAATAAATCTTAGCAAATAAATCAAACCTGCTTCATGGATTAATCGAACATCAAAACTATTCAAACAACAATTACACGTACATACAATCGAAACTTGTATTCAACAAAACACATTAGTTAATAAAATAAACGTAAAGAATCTACCGGTGTCTGCCAATGCGCGTAGAAAGAAATGTTTTTATTGTAGTGATAAAAGTATAAACTTCGCACACAGCTTCTTTCATTCATCTATAGACAGAATATATCGAAACAAGTTTCTTTCTTTCTTTTACTATTCAATCTATTAGTTTTTGGAGTGAATACTGATTTTGTTAAGTTAATTGATTTATTAGTAAAAGCTTTTTGTTATATAACCTTTTTGTTTTTTAAGTAAATAGATTTCTCTTTCACTTTCTTCGAATATGGGGACGAAAAAAGAGAATCTGCCTTTCCCATTATTTTGATTACAATTTTGACGTGCTAGTTTATACAGATATTAAACCTATACACGCATTAGCACAAAATACTTATGCGAACAAAAGATTCATAGAAATAAATTAGTTTTTCAATATAATTATTATGGAAAGTGTTTTGTTTTGATATTATTGCGGAAAGTAATAATTTATTTTGACATAAATTGATGAACAACATTTATCCGTATCTGACAAAAACAACAGTTGAATGATATCAAACACCGATAATCATTATTGAAAAAAGGCCTGCTATTAAGTATCTGATGATTCATTGGAAAATAATTCTTTCGCAATTGTGATAAATTATGATGATGATTAAAAGATGATAAGTAGAAGATATTGAAGTATTATCTTATATACTCGACAGACATTCTAATAACAGAGTTTCAAATCTTTTTAGTCGAATTCTGATTGTCAATTTATTTAGTAGTATCCAAATTAAGCTGATTTTGATTCATGTGTGCTCTTTGATAAAATTGAATTTTCATTTTCTAAATTGAGTAAATTGGAAAATTATGTAAAACACTGACAAGTGTTACTTTGAGGAAATATCATCTAGAAATGTGGCTTCTTATCAGTGGAATAGCTAGTGTCATAACCTTAATATTGATTTTTACAATTATATCAATCAAACGGTATCGATAGAACAAATATTAATATGTGATTAGTCAAGAGATGTTCTTTAAGAAGATCAGCAAGCAATAAGTGATGTGCAGCTTCTGTTAAAAAATGGATTTTCAACTAACCAGTTAACTTGTAACTAAGTAATATTAGTTAGCGATTAGTACTTTTGATAGATTATATGTATCTTGTTTTTTGATAATAAAATTACAGCTTGAAAATAGATGATTCTAAAAGGATAAATCTACGAAGAAAGTTAAATATATTCAGATAATGTTTATGATTTTATTATAAAGAACTCTTATGTATATGTGTCCTTAGCGTTGGTATTATAGAATTTTTATATACTTAGAAAATTTACTATAGAAAGTTGACAATATCTTGTATTTCAATGAAAGTTACTATCGATACAAATAAATGCTAGCATCTTTCTCCGAGGATCATTTCGTTTGTTTTTAATATATTACCATGATGACTTTTACTTGTCTCATTATTGTCAGATGAAGCTGATCATTATTAAATACTTATCATTACGGAACTAACGATTTTAGTTTGTTCCATTCATAAACATTTTTTGAGTCTCTGATTATATTTGTTGAACAATTTTCATGTTCTAATCATTTTTAGTAAACGACAATTGTCACGAACAAATTAATCGATACAGTAATAATTATCTTTCTAGAGTAGAATACTACAATAACTCAATATTAATATCGAATGCATACTGTTATAATAATTATTTTCATGTTAGACTACATTTAGAAGTTAGAGTAAAGTTCAATTAATCTGAAAGTTCCTAGTTTGGCCCTGACCCTACTCTTAGAAAATCTGGCTCCAATCCTGTCTCGATCCTGGCAACACTGGACTCAGACTATCATGCCCATATCTAGTTGTTTTTTACATTTTTACTTAACGTTTATTCGATGCTTATTCTTTCATACATTTTATAAATAAAAAATAATATCGAAGGAATATCAAAAACTTCTTTTTTTTTTTTGAGATTTATTCAAATTCTCGAACATGGAGCCATGATTCTTCTTTATTGTTCCATCTATTCAATACCGAAATAAACATCGAGATTTCAAGGAAGATACTATAAAAATTAATTCTGAAACCTATTGTCTTTTTCGAAAATAAAATGTGAATGATTCTCAACATTTTTTCTTATTATTTCTCGTATTGAAATTTTTCAACAATAATATAAAATTTGATATTATTTTTAAACAATCTTACGAGAGAACATTTCCAACTTTGCAAATAATTTTTGCTTCACACACTATTGCCATTCGACCGGTCATAATGAGAAGTAAAAGCCTCTGCTTTGATTTGATTTTTCAGTTCTCATGAGATGCGAAATGGGCGTTTTATTCAACTGTTGCTCCATGAACAAAGAATCACTGAGATCCCGATAGATCGAACTTCCAACTGGAGTTTTGTTCATTGATAGGTCTTATAGCCACTA